AGAGGTTGACAGGGTAGACAGGGCTGGGTACCTAACTACCTCATGGGCATTTAGAGCCTGGCTCCATCACGGTTGATTTGGCCATTGGTCTACTGATGGACACTTGAGTTATTTCTACATGTTTCCACGATGGTACTGGAGTCTCTGGGTGATGTAGCTTATTAACGTGCTCAGCTGCTAACCCAAACACTGGAGATCTGAGTTCATCCAGAAGGAGGTCAGAAGAGAGGCTTGGAGATCCGCCTCTGGACAACCAGCCATGGAGAACCCAGCGGAGCCCAATTCTACTCGGACGGACGGACATGGGGTCGCTCTGACTCAGAGGCAGTGTGGTAGTAACGGCTAGTTCTAACGTCATCATCTATTCTGTGCGTTGTGCTCGACAGCCCCCATCCCGCAGTATGCAGCCTCTCCCACAACTCCGCACAAACAGAATTCCTGACACTGTCACCCTTTCAGGCCCGCACAGAAGAGCTAGAGGAAGAGACTGAGACCCAACACACACTCAGAGCCAAGACCGAGAAGCAGCGCTCTGACCTGGCCAGGGAGCTGGAGGAGCGGCTGGAAGAAGCCGGAGGGGCAACGTCCGCCCAGATCGAGCTGAACAAGAAGCGGGAGGCGGAGTTCCAGAAAATGCGCAGGGACCTGGAAGAGGCCACCCTGCAGCACGAGGCCACCGCGGCCACCCTGAGGAAGAAGCACGCGAACAGCGTGGCCGAGCTCGGGGAGCAGATCGACAACCTGCAGCGGGTCAAGCAGAAGCTGGAGAAGGAGAAGAGCGAGCTGAAGATGGAGATAGGTGACCTGGCCAGCAATGTGGAGAGCGTGGCCAAGTCTAAGGTACCTGACCTCCTGTTCTTGGCTAGGCAGCCAAGTGCATGTGCCCAGTGAACACTTACAATTCTATGCCCCCTAAACTGGCTGCATGTTCTTAACTGAAATCTCCTCCTCCTCCCCCACTTCTGCCTGCTCCTAATTCCTCACATGCATGCGAGCCGTTCCAAAACCAGGTTTCCCTTCTGACTCATGCCAATGGCCTGTGTGTCCGAGGAGAACTGTGCTCTGAGCCAATTTTCACACACAGATTTCCAGCCCTTTCTTCTTCCAAGGTGCCCTCAGGTGGGCTCACGTGAGAGGAGTGGAGAGCACTGACTGCCTGCTCCACTCAGAGTCACCAAGCTTGATCGAATGATTGGCCACCACTCGGGAGCTCCTCCTCCTTCCAGGTTCTTACTGGAAGCTCCCAAGCCATCCGGCATGTTCTAGAATGAACCTTGCAGGTGGGTTTCCCAAAGGGCTGGCCTCCTGGGGAAGGTTTTCTGCACATTATTTTCTTTCTTTCTTTCCTTCCTTTTATAGATCATTTTCCTGGGGGCTCTTCCAGCTTGTATAACAATCCACACATCAATTGTGTGAAGCATATTTGTATACGTTGCCATCATCATCTTCAAATCATTTTCTTTCCACTTGAGCTCTTGGTATCAGCTCCTCTTTTATCCTTCCATCCTGCACCTCCCACCCTTGTGAGCCCTGGATAAATGATAAATTATTATTATTTTTATATCTTACACCATCCACTGTCTCTCTTCACCCACGTTTCTGTTGTTCATCCCCCCTCATTGGGGGTGGGGAGTTGTTAGACATCAATCGTTGTGATCTGTTTCCCCTTTCTCCCCCTTCTCCCCTCCCCTTTCCCCTACCCTCATGGTATCACTAGTCCCATTACTGTTTCTGCGGGGTCCATCTGTCCTGGATTCCCACACCACCGTCTGAACCTACACAATGTGTCGCTGGACACACAACCCGTGTGAAGTCCTGCTCATGAGTATGAGCAGATCTGGGTTTTGTGGGGCTTGAAAAATGCAACATTTGGGATGTTTTAAGGAAAACTATACAAAACGAAGCCGCCGGTTGGATATGAAAGTAAATCTGTATTGTGGGTGAGAAAAATAAGTCATAAATTGCTAGCAGCGTGGGAATGAAAGAGACCTCCTTAGACCATGTATCAGAAATGGTTACCGAGGAACGTGTTCTCTTGACGTTGACTCTCTTCCTCAGCGGGTCCATTCTACGGCCCCACGAAGTCTCTGGGGACCCTGCACACGAGACCCCCTGAAGCTTTGACTTTAGGAGCTTGATGGTCACACTGCTTCTTGAGATGATTCCAAAGCACAGCTCATCTCCTAGAAAAACAGAATTCCTAGACTTAAAAGATCTGGGCTCATCCTAGGGGTGCTCTGAGTTACCCTTAGGACTGTCGCGTTGGGCGGGGACCCCCTCAGTGAGACGGGAAGCGCCTGCAGAGAATTGGTCAGAAGGCTGGAGACTCCCTCCAGGGAGGAATGCCAGGTGGGAACCAGGGTGAAGGTGCAGCTTACTGCCCTTGGTTAGGGGTCTCCATCCTGTGCTTTCTCTTGATGTTTTCCCTCCCTGCTCATGACTGCCTGTCCCTGGGTAGTGACTTCTCTTTCTTTCCTGGTTCCCCATTTTCTCCCCATTTCCTCTTGTTTGTTGTCCTTCCTCTGAAAATGTGTGTGCCCCCTTTCCTCTGTCTCCTGTAGTCAGCCGGCTTGGGGTGGAGCTTGACTGGGCTAGAAGAAACTCTAGCTCAGGCATGTGGTATCCCTGGGACCAACACTTCCTTACGGCTTCCTGTAGCCGTAATAGCATGTTATGTTCTCAGTTCTCAATTGTCAAATCCAATGAAAGAATGATCTATAATGTTTCATGGCTTTTTAATTGCGTGTATCCCTAAGAGTAACTGGTAGTTTTGAACTGCCAAAAATACACAACCAATATACCACCTGGGATCCCTAGAAACCATTTAGCACCAGCTTCTTTTCTTTTTTAATGTAAATGGGGGAAAAAATAAAATAATCACCAGGAAAATACCTTTCAGAAAAGAACAGACTAGACGGCAGGCCTCAGGCACAGAGTCCCACCAAACCACAGCCGTGAGCTAAAAGCTGATTTGCTGTTGTTATTGGTTGTCATTGGGTGTCGAGTCCATTCCAACCCATCACAGCCCTATGTGCGACAGAAGAAACACCCGCGCCATGCTCACAATCATCAGGCCCAAGCCCATTCTCGCCCCACCCACTGTTGTTATTCGTCGTTATCAAGTTTACTCTGACTCCTGGAAGCCCTAGGTGTGCATATCAGGACAAAACATTGCCCGGCCCAGCATCTTCTTCACCATCCTCGGTCCCAGGGTGAGTCTTTCCAGCCCAGGGGGCTCATTTCAATTACAGTGGGCAATATTCTGTGACCCACAGAGTTTCTCTGGGCTGATTTTTAATGTGGATGGCCAGGCATTTCTTCCGAGTGCCTCTTACTTTGTTTGAAAACACTGATGAATCTTGTCCAGCATGGTTGGCCCTGCCAGTCTTCTAGATCCCGGCAGTATAGCAACCTGCAGGCCACCAGAGTACAACCAACTGACAGAAGGGGGTAGTGACGCTGTTTCTTTATTTCCACTGCATTTACTTTCATGCCGGCTTCCTGCGGTGTTGGCAAATGCTAAGAGTTTTCTACGTGCTGTAGTGGTTTACTTTTTCAATAAATACATGTAAATATGATAAAGGAGTCACCCACCCTGAAGGAATTGTTAAGTCAATAAACAAAGTGACCCGCCCACTGGGCAGCATCTGCAAAGGCAGCATGGGAATGATTTAAACTCATGAAATGCCGGTGGAAGGAAATACCTCAACCAGAAACGGTGTCTGCCATGGGGACACTGCTGTGAGCCCGCAGGCCAAGAACGCCCTGGCATCGGTTTGCATCCACCACTGCTCTTCTTCCTTGACTTTGGCAGGCCAAGAACACCCTGGCCCACGCCCTGCAGTCCTCGCGCCATGACTGTGAGCTGCTGCGGGAACAGTATGAGGAGGAGCAGGAAGCCAAGGCCGAGCTGCAGAGGGCCATGTCCAAGGCCAACAGTGAGGTGGCCCAGTGGAGGACCAAATACGAGACGGACGCCATCCAGCGCACAGAGGAGCTGGAGGAGGCCAAGTACGGGTTCCAGGGTTAGCGTGGTTGGGAAAAGTGAACCCAGGCCAAGTACGGGCGCCAGGGTTAGCGTGGTTGGGAAAGGTGAACCCAGGCCAAGTACGGGTTCCAGGGTTAGCGTGGTTGGGAAAGGTGAACCCAGGCCAAGTACGGGTTCCAGGGTTAGCGTGGTTGGGAAAGGTGAACCCAGGCCAAGTACAGGTTCCAGGGTTAGCGTGGTTGGGAAAACACAGAACCTTCCTCGGCCACTCCAGGGCTTGGACTTTCTTAAGTATTCAGAGAGTGTCTCCCAGTGGGACAGGGTCTCCCTGCCCGTCCCCCGAGGGATTTGTCCATTCAACTTGTTGCTCTCAGTGAACTTTGGTGACTTCTTTTGCCACCCAGCATTTGGGGACTCTTTAGAAATGACTTGAGTCTTCTCAAGTATTCATCAGATTCTCAAAACAAACAAACAAACAAACAAAAGCAAACGCACTGCCATCTTGTCAATTCTGACTCGCGTCAGCCCTCCAAGGCAGGGCGGAACGTCCCCTGAGACTGTGACTCTTGAGGGAAGCAGCTTTCTCCCAAGGAGAAACTGGAGGTTTCAAATTGCTGACCTCGCGGAACCGGATTCTAGGATTTATCAAATGCCAGTTTCTTATCGACATGTCATCTACATTCTCTCTAACAGCGTCCCGCAAACCCACTGCCACTGAGTTGACTGCAACTTGTAGCGATGCCACGCAAGTCCAAAGCATTTCTGAGACACACTGCCTTCAAATCAATTCCAATTAATAGACACCCTAGAGAGCAGAGTAGAAATCCTCATTCGGGTTTCCGAGATTGTAATTTTCTTTTCAATCATTTTACTGGGGGCTCGTACAACTCTTATCACAATCCATCCATCCATCCATTGTGTCAAGCACATGTGTGCATTTGTTGCCATCATCATTCTCAAACATTTTCTTTCCACTTGAGCCCTTGGGAACTCCTCCTTATTGGGATTGTAAATGTTTAAGGGAGGAGACAGCCTTATCTTTCACCCCAAGAAGCGGTGAGTGGATTCAAACTATTGGCCCTAGGGTTAGCAACAGCTCAACACATAGCCTACGACACCTCCAGGGCTCTGGGAGACCCTCTGAAATGTAAAAACCTGGTCCTTTAGGAAGAAACTGGCCCAGAGGCTCCAGGAAGCTAAGGAGAACACAGAGGCGGTGAACTCCAAATGCGCTTCCTTGGAGAAAACCAAGCAGAGGCTGCAAGGGGAAGTGGATGACCGGATGCTTGCCCTGGAGCGTGCCAACACTGCCTGTGCCACCCTGGACAAGAAGCAGAGGCGCTTTGATAAGGTCCTTCCCCAGCCACCCAATGGTAGCCATGCTGAAAGGGACAGCTTTCCATGCTCGGGCATGGGCCCTGCACGCTTCTGCCGTTGGACACCAGTTCCCAGCTCTGGGGATGTGGGGAGCCCCATAGGTTCTTCTAGAGTCCCTGGATCATGCAAACCGGTTAAAAGGTTGTTGGTTCGCGTGCACTCAGGCATCCCTTGGGAGAAAGGCCTGGTGAGCTACGTCAGACAAATCAGAGCCCTGTGGAGCACAGTCCTGACACACGTGTGATTGCCATGAGTCAGAGTTGGCGTGAGGGCAAATGGTTTCCTGGCAGATGTTGCCGTTTAGTCGATAGTCACTCAGAGCGACCCTGTAGGACAGAGCCCATCGGGTTTCCCAGGCTGCACATCTTCATGGAAACAGACTGCCACGCTTTCTCCCACAGGGCAACTGGTGGGTTTGAACAGCTGCCCTTTCAGCTGGCAGCCAGGGTGGCAACCACTGCACCCCCAGGGCTCCTAGATGCCCCTGTTCTTCTGAAGCTTTTCCTCCAAAGGGAATTTTGTTTTCAGTTCAGATGAATTCAAGGTGCTTTGCGATGCAAAGACCCCTGAGAACACAGCAGGTCACCAAGAGTAATAGCCGTGTCTGGAGCCACGGATCTAAAGCAAAAGCCTCCCCAAGCGTGGGCTGATAGCCTGTGTTGATTGGGGCTCTGTCAAGTTCCCCAGCCCTTTCTGCTTCCCACATGTCCGTTTGTCACCTCCCAGGGCCTTGCGGGATGGAAGCAAACACGGGATGGAAGCCAGGCTGAGTGGGAAGCTGCCCAGGAAGAGCCCAGGTCCCCCGGGCCTCAAATCTTCAAGATGAGGAATGCCTGTGAGGAGGTGGTAGACCAGATGGAGACCCTGAAGCGGGAGAACAAGAACCGACAAGGTGAACTCTCTTCTAGCCAGAGCTTCCCCTTGTCCTCCTGCCACCTTTGTCCACACACAGTCACCTGCCAGCCCCTCCTGCCAGCCCCTGCCCCACAAATTTCTCTTCACCAAGGGTCCTAATTTGGTCCCCATTTGAAAAATCACAGGAAACTGTTTTCTAAAATAAAACTCTTTCATCTAAATGCAGACCTCTGGTTGCACAGTGGGTTGGTTACCCATTGAACTCCTAACACAAAACCAGCAGTTCAAAACCACCACCTGCTTCGGGGAAGATTTATTTTTCATTTTTATATAATTATGCCAGTCCTCTCTTCTTTCTTCCAACAAACTGTCCCCCATGGCCATCAAGTCAATGCCGACTCATAATGACCCGAGATAGTGTTTCCAACCCTGCAACTCTTCATAGAAGCAGACGGGCTCATCTCTTTCCCAAGGAGCCCGGGCGGGTGAGTTTCAATGGCCAAGCTTGTGGTGAGCAGCCCCACACTTACTATCTAATATCAGCCACGTGTAAACTGAGGAATGGAACAGCACCAGGATAACTTCTTCCCACCCACTCCCACCCCACACCTCCCAAGTGCTTTTTGTTTCCCAGCGAGTGTTTTATTTTGTGAATTAGTTAAAGGTGTACGGAGCAGAGCATCGGTTTTACATCCAACAGTTCATTCACCTGCTGCTTCACCCCATCCACTGCGGTCCTCTCAATGTGCCATCACTTAGCCCCTTCCTCCCTGTGTCTCCTGTTTCTATCCCTCCCTCTTTCCTAGCCCCCTGAGCCTGGACCCTTGCTGCCCTGTGGATTAGAAATGGTTGGGTTTGCTTAGTTGAGCCCTAGGGTGAGCTCAGGACCAGACATGAAGGGTGACTAAGGGCCATAGTCTTGTGGGTGGGGAGGGGGAAAGGCCAGCCCCCCACAACTAATCGCGGGTTTGATAGGTGCAATTGTTCGTTGAGAGATATAAAGATTACAGTAAAGTCATAGAGAGCCTGAGAGATAGAGGAGAGATAGAAATAATGGAGTCAGACACATTTCATAGTAGCATGCTCACCTCAGCCCTGCTTGGTGGTCCACGTGGAGGGAGAGATCCGAGGGCAGGAGAGAGGGGGAGGGGAAAGGGAACAGGGGAGCGAGGATGGGGAGAGGGAGGGGAGCTGACGAAAGGCCAAAGGGCTCTTTATTACTAACCCAGGCTTATATATCTTTGGTGGGCCTGCAAGCCTCCTAATTACAGGAAGGAGTTGTACTATAGGTAATACAGCAATGAGAGGGGGACAATCTAGGGAGAGTCACACAATAGGAAGGGGAGGGATTGAGGGCACACATGTGACAAGAAGGGCGGATCCTAGATTCAGGAAAGCAGCCTAACTTTGAATGTCACTGAGCAGGTCGGACCTGTTCTCTGGCTCTCCATGGAAACCATTATCAGTAGAGTGTAAACCCCACCTACAGGGACCGGACTAATGGTCCCAAGCCTTTAGGGAGGATGTAGCCCATTGGCCCTACCTGTGGAGGGACCAGACAGTAGTCTGGCAGCTGACTGCCTTCAGGGAGGTAACTTGACAATCATTTACCATTAGCTGCAAGCAGTGTCCTCAGTCTAACATCTATTTGGGGGAGATGACCTGGGAGAAATCTTTCTGTTTCCCACAGTCTTGAGGATCCCCTAGGCCCCTTCCTCCCAGAATCCTGGTCCTCTTTAAGGAAAGTACGTAAATATAATCCATAGCTGTGGTATCGGATTTTCCTTTGCTAGAACACGAGCTTGATCAATACCAAGCAAAAAATGGAGACTGACATTGCTCAATGCCAAACAGAAGTGGAAAACTCCACTCAGGAGTCCAGAAGCACAGAAGAGAGGGCCAAGAAGGCCATCACAGATGTGAGGCTCAGTCTTTCTTCACAGACATGCTACCTGGTGATCTCGGAGGGGCCGTCAGCCAAGGCATGGCAAGGACATTTCACATCATTACAGCCTATGGTTGACTAGTGAGGGCTTCCTGGAGACATGTAGGGAATGGCCTCTCAGTGAAGGTAGGCAAAACCAAACCGAAAAAAGCATCAAACCAGGTGCCATCAAGTTGATGCTGAGTAGAACTGTGCTCCAAGAGGCTTTCAAGGTTGTAACCTTTCAGAAGGAGAGGCTCAATTCCTTCTTCCAAGGCACCTGAGACGGGTTCAAGCCCCAACCTTTCTATTAGGAGTCAGGGTCATACCATACCAGTGATTGCCATCCTGTGCATCAACACGTTCCAGATTTTAGCAGCATCTCATGTGCCCTTGGGGGATGAATGGACTGGGTGGCCCACTGATATTTCCTGTCATCTTAAGTAGGCGGCCATGATGGCCGAGGAGCTGAAGAAGGAGCAGGACACGAGTGCCCACCTGGAGCGGATGAAGAAGAACCTGGAGCAGACGGTGAAGGACCTGCAGCACCGGCTGGATGAGGCGGAGCAGCTGGCCCTCAAGGGGGGCAAGAAGCAGACCCAGAAGCTGGAGAACCAGGTAGAGTGGTTGTTGGGGACACTCTCTCTTGAAGTGACACTGCTTCCACAACCGCAAGCAGAATCACAATTCAGAAAGTTAGGTTCGGGGAAAGTGGCCACGGCTTGAGGAGACTGCAAAGTTAATTCCAGGACTGCTTGCAAAACACCTTGCAAATCTCCCACCGCGTCCCCATCACCTGACCACTTTCCCCAACGAAAGAAAGCCATTGGCTTTGAGTCAGTCACAACTCATGGCAAACTCGTGTCTGTGCCAGGGTAGAGCTGTGCCCCATAAGGTTTTCAATGGATTATTTTTTTGATAGTAGATCATCAAGCCTTTCTTCAGCGGTGCTTTTGCATGTACGTACATCTGAGCTCCATCCTACCTCTTTAAGAGCTCTAGATGCATGGTCTTGGGCTCTGGTCACCCATACTTCTCTACGCCTGCCTTTCTACATTGACCAAACTGACCTCAGCAGTCCGGAGCATGGACTTTGGATGTCAGCCAACCGGGAGGGCATCGTGAATGGAGTCATGGTCCTCTCATAGCAGACTGCAGGACCTTGAGCAACATGTCCTCATCCCTGAGACTCAATGCCCTGCTCTTCCAGCTGGCGATAACCATAGAGATTACAGCGATAACCATAGAGATTACAGCGCCGTGAAGAAACCACAGCGCCCCTCACAGGCTGGAGGGACCTGGAGAGCATTGTGCCCAGTGAAGTTAGTTAATCACAATTGTTGGACGAGACCACCGCACTAAGGAGAGAAGCCAAGGCAAAGACCTGCACAGCAAAGGGAACAGATGTTGGAGGCTCCCAAAGGATGGAGGGTAAATGTGTGGAGATGAAGCAATGGACCAGAAGGGTGAGGGACTGACTTGGATGAAAAGGAAGATGGAGATCCAGAAGAGAAATATGGGGCAGGTGGGTGGGATAGAATACAAGGTGGAGGCAGGTGTGGGGGAGTAGTTGAGGAGTGGTTTGGACTGTTGAATCCAGAGTTGATGTTCTGAGATATAAAACCGCTCCCACCTAATTCACAATAAAAAAAATCACAGCGACAATGAGCTAATATTGAGTACTAGGTCACTATGTACCGGTCACCGAGATGAGTTATGCTATCTGGCAATATCTTGATCCAAATTCCCCTTCCTGTGCCATCACCGGTCAACTTGTGGGCTTTTAACCACAGCAAGGTTGGAAGCTGAGACAGATCGGCACTGGCAGCAGTGATGAGAAACGAGTCCTCCACCGTCATTTTAATCATCATCATCATTGTTGCCATCATTGTCCAACATCCTGGTTGAAATTAAAGGTTGAAAGAGCCCCATTACATTTTTTTGTTGTTTTGAAATTGTTTATGGCAACATTTATACATGTCCGCTTGATATAATGGATGTAGATTTTTAAAAGATATGTCAGAGCCCTCAATGAATGATTTATTTTTTTTAAGAAAGGTTGTTGGTGAAACACCAAAATTGTCTTATCATGGAGAGGACAGGATGGCATCCTAGTAATATATTTTGCCCAGTTCCTCTACAATAAACTCTTGTGAAACAGGTACAAACAGTAACACAACTCTGCACATCAAATGAAAGAATAAAGAGTTGGGTTAAACACCAACTGCAAAACCAAGCAGAACAAAAGCAGCAACTGAGCAGAGAGAGGAAGTGAAGACCCACCACAGCCAGGCCAGCCTGAGGCTCAGAAGGGAACAGACACGTAACCATTCGCGGTCCCATGGACTGACACGAGCTGTCCTTTTTTCTTCTTAATCATTTTACTGGGGACTCGTACAGCTCTTATTACAATCCGTACATCCATCCATTGCGTCAAGCACATTTGTACATAGGTTGCCATCATCATTCTCAAAGCATTTGCTTTTTACTTGAGCCCTTAATATCAGCTCCTAATTTTCCCCTTCCTCCCCCCTTTCCCCTCCCTCATGAACCCT